TTTTCAATTAAAAAAAAATTCAAATCATATAATATAAAAGTGAAATATATTAAGAAATAAGAAAAAATTATGTTTTATTATATAATTTGAATTTTTAAAAAAATTACTACTGTTTAAATGAATCAAAACCCATAACTTGGTTCTCATAAATATATATATATACATATATATAACCCCATAACCTGGTTAAAATATTTCTTCCCTGAAACAGAAACTTCAGATATCCCCACTCAATATCATTAACAAATTAATTCCAAACATCATATGCCAAGAAATATATATATATTTTTTGAACATGGCCAAGAAATATTTTTAGTTATGCTGGTTGGAGTTGATGATATCTTACTCATACACGTGCCTTTGAGCATATTAAAGCAAAAGAACAGTTGGTACAATAGAAGAACATTTATCTCGTAAACAAAAGGACAGCTGGTGAACATTTGTCTCCTTAATAGCCAATCCTACTTCCCTCACACTTTCCTTTCTCATTCTTTTAACTTGTATAATCTTTCCTTATTGCTTTAAATTTATACATCTATAAATTTTAAAGAATTCTCACAAATAATACACAAGAAAGTATATTATTCACAGAAAATCTCATCTTTCTGTTTTCTAAATACAGGAGGGGGTTTCCGTTTCAACTTCGACTAAAATGTGACACTGGGCACAACACAGACATCGGCGTACTAATTTAACCAACAAAGAAAAGTGGGGTTAGAGTAAGGTGAAGGGTGTAGCCTCACTTTATTATTTTGTCCAACCGTTCATGTTTGTCCCACCATTGATACTTCAGGAGTTGGAGCTGATGGTTGTTTTTCCTCCGTTTCTCTTTCTGTCTCTTTTAATGGAGTTTAAATCGTCTGAATTATTAACAGGTTACTATTAACAATTTTTTGATGCCAAAAAGGACGTCTGTTAATAATATAGAATTATAAGGACTCAATTGTTAATACTAAGAAAGATTAGGGGATATTTGAAGATTTCTTCATTCTTATGTCCTCATTACTTTACTAGGTTAGACTGATTATTATAATTTGGGCTACAAAATAAGCCCATTATAACGACTCCAATCTCAGCCTCAATTGGGCACCGAGAATTATCGAAGCTGTTGCATTTTATTCTATAAAGAAAATAATAGATAACGTCTTAATGGTTAAAAATTTAATTTTTATATTAAAAAATTTAAATTTAAATTTTGAAGTGAGTGAGAAGGGATTTGGAAAAAAAATAGAAGAAGCTATTCCATATTATATAGATAGATAAACGAAAATAATATTTATCCATTTTACCTCATAAAAATTAAGAGAAATATTATTTTAAAACTATATTATTTTAATAAATATTTATTGAAAAAAATTAAAATTTAAATTTTAAAGTGAGGGAGAAGGGATTTGGAAAAAAAAAGAAGAAGCTATTCCATATTATATAGATAGATAAA